ACTATTGTAAAATAAATTTGATAAAAATATACCTATTAATCAAACATAACTGTAGAAATATTTGTAAATATGCTGGAATCAAATATCAGGGAATTTTAAAAAAATTGTCAAGAATGTTGAGAATATGTGCAGCATATTAAAACAAAGGGATGTTTATTTTGAAGAGACAAAAATTTAATATTTATTATAATTTTTAATTTCTACGATATTAAAGCATAAAATAACAATAATAAAATATAGTTTAATAATATTTATACATGTTTTTGTATGTGTGTGTGAGCTTATTTCTATATTAATGATCGATATTCAGTTGTGCAATCACTAGCACACGTTTCCCATTATTTTATTTATTAAAATAACAGTTTCTATAGGTGATGCAATATTTTTGATCTACTATATAACATCACCGTTAATCGCCGGTATAATTTCGCGTGGCGTACATTTTTTTCAGCTAAAACCCGTACGTGCGCCAACTTTTTCGAGGCAACGCACAATTTTTTTTTATTCGCCACAAACAATAGGTCATTTTGGGATAAACCGCGCGAGCAATTGTTACACAAGTTTGCGCGATTCGAAGCGTACAGGGCGATAGTATGCGTCGGTCATCGCCTACAAACACTCGCGCAGCTCGTGTGAACCTTTATTTGTCGTCCGGATGCCAGTGCGCCGGGAAAGTGCCACCGGATGTTGGACAAGTTCGAAAAGTCCGCGTATCCGACCGCCGGATGCTGTCGCCGTCCTCGGCCACCGTGCGTGTCGAGGTAACTAATTATTCCTCTTGGTATTGATTTTACGGCCGTTGCCGGTATCTTGCGAAAACAAAAAATATCGTCCACGCGAGGATGCAACGACGGCGAAAAGCCGTCGGCCGAACCGGACTTTTATCCTCGTTAATCTACGTCGAGAGTAGTGCGACAACGACGGTTGCATCGATCACGAAATCCACTTAACGCGCATTTTGATAAGTCATCGCGATATTTACCTCGCGCCGGACATTTCCGCAAAGAGCATATTCCTGTTACACGTAAAGTGTTTCTGAACCATGGATTTTAATAAACTTGACATAAAAAGTTTCAATTTGACACTATAAAGTGCCGCATATTTTTCAAATTCTTTCATCAAAAATGGCAGAAAAAATCAAATTCGTTATAAACTTTAAAAATAAATTAATCTAAAATATAAGCTATAATTTTCAGTATTAAATAATATCATAATTAAGTAATCCATCATATTTTTATTAAAGCACAAATTCTGATTCGAAAAATTAAATTTGATAAGGAATCGGTAACAAAAAGATTTGCCACATTTATCGCATGCCATATGATTATATTCCGCGCTTGATGTGTATAAGAAAATATATGGCGGCAATTTCTCCACAATTAATTCTCATTGTCAGTTCGTAAGAAGCAAAACTGTCACGTATATTCGCCACAAGAGTTGGGCTAATCTGAAAAATTTTCCCACAAATAACATTGGCCATATTCCGACGACCTCGTTGAGACCAGTGCCAAAAGCGATCGTCCGTCGAATTATCGGCTTCGGCATTTGCGGCTTGATTGCGGGATAACCACTAAAGGGTTGCCAGGACGATTTGGGAAAGGTATATATATAAAGGGAGAAAGAGAATAGGAGTGTGATGGAGAACGGCCGATAGATACAAATTGATGGACGAAGGAATGGAGAGTCAGTATAGGTACTGATAAATATGGTCGGCGAACTTCTATCCATCTATATGTGCAGAACGCTCTGGTTGTTCGCATCCTGCACGAATATCTCTTCGGTAATTAAGCTCCTGGTCGTAATTCGGACTAATTAATGGAGACTGATTGCGCGGTCTTTTATCGGGATTGACCTCAATGCTGACTTTATGCTATCGTATCTATTTTCTCGACTTGCTTGATTAAATTAAAATCAATTTATGCAAAAAAAACGCTTCTTAGTGGATTTTGTGATTTTTTATAAGCAAAGATTCTAAAGGTTTCGAACTATCAATGATAATTGCCTTTAAAGTAATAGTTTTAATAGTTTAGTATTCCTTCTAAAATGCGAAAATATTTATTTCTGGATAAAATAATTATATTATTATTATATTAATTATTAAATAATCAAATAAAGCATATCTCTCTCTCTCTCTTCTGATTTTTGAATGTGTATAAGAATATTGATCATATGAAAATTGAAATATACACAGTATATTTATTTCGGAAAGATAAAGCGATTTATTTGCTCAAACTGAAAACAGAGAGAAAGAGCTATCTCTTTGAAATAATTCCAATAAATCGTCTTATATCCGGCAATATATCCTCAAAGCAAATATTTTAAAAATCTTGATTCAAATACAATAATCTAGTTCGTCAGATTTCTTAATAAAACCAAGTAAAATAAAACTTCTCTATAAGAAATTACGTTTTTATCTGTTCCTTTGTTTATATTACAGAGATAAAATTGAGATTGCTGTAAGATCTAATATAAAAAGTAAACTGTGCTTCATCTGCGAGATACATCCACGATTCTTCGTTATTGTAATTTTATGAAATCCATGTATCGTGGAAGTCGATATTTTATAATTTATAGAAGCAAACTCTTCTCTTGAAAAATAATCTTTTTAAAAAGACATAATCTAAATCTTAATATCTAACATTTTTTGAAATTATTATATCTACACATAAATAAGTATGTGGCAGAAAGATTAAGCTTGAAATTAAAGTGGAAGATTAAATAAAGCTTACAGGTCACGAATTATTGGTTTCCTTCGTTAGTTTGAATTGTTAGAAATACATTTCATCGGTACAGTGCCAATCATATAGACTAACAGCAACGCAACCCAAGATTCGATAACGAACTTGTGTAATTAAGAAATCGAAATTCCATATAAATGACCGAAATTGTTGGCGAGTCGCGCGGAATTATTGACAAATCGATAGAACTTTATCGACGTACATCATCAAACCATAGACTTTCTACCCGGAAATATTCAGATACCTTTCAACAACGCACCGTTGCATAGTTGTCCGAGCAAAGTTTACGGCGGATCTCAGAGTCGATGTTCGAGCCAGAATTAACACACCGCTATAAAGTTTCCGTGGGGAATCCGATTACGATCGACTATAGGTAAAGTTCCCGGAAATGGATTTGCCATGAAAGTTTTCCAAAAAGCACCAATCGATCGATCGGCCGTATGGCTGATTTTGAGCGATTTTGCGCGAAATGATCCCACATTTATACTTCTTGTGATAAGAATCGTGTCATCAATGCTTATCGCTAAATTGTTATTAACGATCGAATTTTTACTATTAACAATTTTTACTATAAATATTAAAATTGTAATTGTACATGCAAACTTATATGTATGCTTGTCTATGGATATTATCAATAAGAAATTGAATAATATTGAATCATATTGAATAAATTGAATAAATAAAATAAAATTGAATAATCAAATAAATAAAAATGAACAATGAAATTATGAAATTGAATAAATAAATGTTATTAATAAATATATACGAAATATTTAATTATCTGCAAATAATTAATAAATAATGAAAAACCTTCATCAAAAAGCGTTAAGAAAAAATTCTATTCCAAATATACATTTTCTTATATATAAATAAGTATTAAATATTAAATATCTGTAATATAATTATTTTTTTTCTTTATATTTGATATTTGTCATCTTTATGTCAGATTGCAATTTTATCAAAGCAAATTTATATAAAAGATTTATTTGTTAGAGAGACATATCAATTTATATGCTTCAAAGTCTCGAATCTAGATATCAATATTTCCTCTCTTTTCTTTGAGAAAAAGAATTTTTATTCTCATTCTTGCAGATAAATTTTAGAAGGATTTCAACGTAAGCTCTTCATCGAGATCGACGAAGAAGCTTACGCTCGACATTTTCTTTCAATGCTCAACAATATCCCGGTTTCGATGAGCATAACACGAAACGAGCAAAGTAAAAATAACGCATGTTAAGCTGTATAGCTTCACTATCGCATCAAATGCATTGGGATGTGGTTTTCGCAAAAGTTCGATGTACTTTCTAACAGTCCACGGTTGCATAGTCGAACAGTCGAAGGGAAGTTTACGCTACGTTTGAGACTAAATTGGATCACGAATTCTCGAAGTTTCCACCGGAAAATCCTGTGAGGATTTCCTATGAAGCGCAAACTGAACTCGCGAACAAAAACGGGATTTAAATTTTGTACATAGTATATGTACACAATCGCTTCCCAATGCACATAAATTAATTTCGGCGTTATTAAAACGCACCGGAATAAAGCTTATTATAATACAAATTACTTTACGTTTTCATTACCCTGCACAAATATATTTTAATTCGAGCGAACAAAAATCACACATAATTTGTAATAAAATAAAATCTTTACAAGTTCGCGATCTTTCTTTTCACGCGTGACTATGTTTCTATATTTTGCAGTAGACATTATTATTATAATGCATAACTGCAACGCCGTCAAAGTAGAATGGCATGCCAAGAATGCGGAAGCCCAGAGTTAACCCGCCGTTCATCCTCTCGCCGACCTATCCTGCGGAAGAATCTCCGAAATTGTTCGCATGTCAAAAGCCGAAACTCTCCCCACTGTCACGGTACGGTTCGCGATTTTATACAATGCGTATATATTTTTTTTCCATTTCTCCCTCTCTTTTTTGAAGAGTTATTGAGGTGCGAGATTGTACGTGCGCGAGAGAATCACGAATTTTTGCGCTGTGAATGCGTCGTGCGTTTTCAAGTTATTCTTTCGACGAAAAAGCTAGCCCGGGTTGGCCTTTTTCAACACGTTGATTTACGACGCCATTTCGTACGCGAAAACTATCTTTTACGATAGTACGAGCGAGAATATCACTGTTATAAATATCATTGTGCGCCTTACATGTTCAACGTCGTAGCAACATTTCAGTTCTTCTCGGTTATAATTTTTAATTTCATATTGATAAACGATGTTAATAACCGCGAAAAATATAGGGATTCTCACACTTACCTGATTGCCATGCTCTTTGCCTTTAGATGATGCCATCTTTGGTTCATCTCATCCAATCGACGTTGCAGCATAACAGCGTCATCCTGACTCGCTAATGAGCTCAGTAATTTTCGTCCGGTGCCGTTCAAAGATGCGTAAACGTCTCGGTGCGTCTCGATTTCCGACTGAAGATCCTGCAACAAGCAGGAGAAAACCTCCTTAGATCCTTAAGAACGAGGTTGAAGGATTTTGCGATAAAGCAAGATAAAACTATTCATTATCTGAAGAATAATATATTAGCGACAAATATGTCGAAGATTGTCACTTATATAACTAAAGTATACATATTTTTTGTTATCCAAAAAAATCATAAATATTTGAATATAATTTAATATACATATATATTTATTAAATTTTAAATTATATTTAAATATTTATTATAAATATTTAAATTAAATAAATATTTAAATATATCGTTTATTAGTATTTGCAATACAATTTCCACCACAGATTTCTTATAAGATATAAAATATAATTCAGATCGCAGTAATAATAATTTAAAAGTCTTTCTGAAGATATAAGTAAAAAAAGTATGAAGTTTTTTCAATTTTAGGCAACTTGATTCTTTTTATGGAAATGAAGAGCATTCGCGCGACAGAGGGAGAATGCATTCGTGGTATTTCGTCATCGTGATGACGTGAATTGCAGTCTGCGCGTGGATAGAAATGATTTATATACGAGTTTCCATGTACAACGGTGGTATACGAGTATGTCGGAACGCCGACATGCAATGCATGCGCCAATGAAAATAAATCGGCGCCGATGCGGGAGTGAATTAAGAAATATTCGCTGGCGTCACGGCAAGAACAATAGCATTTGTCTTGCTCTCTTTAAAACAGCTGTGCGTTTCGCAATTACAAACCCACAGTCTTAGTTTATTCTATATTTCTCATAAAAACTTCCGATAAAGATAAAAGGCTTTCATTAGACGTAAATTTTAAGAGAATCGCAAAGTTCTCTCCACATTGTTAAAAATAAAATTTATAAAAAGTCAATAAATTTAGAATAGCAAATAATCACATGATTTACTTTTATTAACGATTTCTCAAAATACTACTACTATAACTTAAACTAATTACTAATTGATAGTTGCAATCAATTGATTTGTTGGCAAAATTATTATTATTGTTATATAGAGTCTCATTAAATATATTTATAATTAATAGTATTAATAATTTGTTTTATAATATTGCATGTAGATTATATTCATTAATGTACGCGCAAAAACAAATATTACTATTACAAATATGCTTTATATATTTATAGTATACATAAATATAGTAAACAAATAATTTATTAATAGAAGTAATAAAAAAAGTTTCTCAATTTCTGTAAATATGTTCTGTTACGTATAATATAATAAAAATAAATATTGTCGCAAATAAATATATTTCTAATCCGGCGTGAGAAAACATTTGAAGCTAAAAAATGTTCTCCGGCGGAGTAACATGCGATAGCAACGACACTATGAAATCCGTGAAATATCTTTCGTTTCCGTTCGCCGCGGCGTTGTCTTAATCTGAAACCGTCTGCCTGTCAACGACGGTCGTATACTCCCTTTTCAAACCTCCCCTTCCTCCCAACCCTCTTCAATTTTTGACACGCACGAATTGAAGGCTGCAATCTCGAGAACGATGCCAGCCGGGACTCGATTCCCATCTGGGTCGACGATCGACGGGTCAGAGCGAGATATTTTTCAGCTGCAGTTTCCGCGCGAATTGACACTGGTGACACCCGGTGTGCATCGCGGAGACACGCGTAATGAAAAAAGAAGAAAGGGAAGTAAAAAGCGGATAGAGGAAAAGGAGGAGGGACGAGAAAAGAGGAGAGTATATACGTCTATGTATATATCGACGTGGATACTGCTGCGCCAGTGAACCGACTCCGGAAAATTGGGCACATCTATCAAACTGGGACCTGCTCGACGACGAGCGAACTGTACGTTCGTCGAGCGTTTGAATCGGTAACGTTTAATTGAAGCTCTTGGTGGCAGCTTGCGCGGAAGCTAATTTCGTTTAAACCTCGACAGGCATGTGAAACTCTATTCCGCACTTTCCTTGACATTTGCAAATTATGAATTATTAAATCGAGCATAATAAACAGCCAGGACTACCAATAAATATTACGATGCCGGAAAGTATTTTTCATAATTCTAATCATGATAGTCGCGTTAAACATCGTCACCTTTTAATTGAACTACATAGATAAAAATAAAAGTATATAAAAGTATACAAATTAACTAATAAGTATATAATTATGTAAAGTACATAGTATTAAATATTATGAAAATATTTTTTTTCATATTTCTATTATTGTAAAAAGGGAGAGCTTAGTGTTAATAATAAAATTTTGCTAAAATTATTATCACAAGTTTTTGTATTTTAGTATTAATTGATATGTGAAAACTGAATCAATCATATTACATTTTATTTAATAGAGATAAATTATTTAAATAGTTGTCAAATAATAATTGTAAATAAAATAACGTATAAATTTCTGTGATGCCATTTTATTAAAAGGCAAAAAGCGTTTAAATCGAGTATTTTTAAAAGCTAAGATCCGTTTCATTGCACTTGTCAGTTAACAACAACATCGCGACATTGTATCGATGTCTTAGAACGCATCCACAATGTCGATTAGATTTTTCGCACTAATGGAACTTTCTTAAGACGCCATCCTGGCGAGCTAGGTATTAAAATGTTCAAGGATGCTTCAGGGAGATGGCTTGGAAAAAAAGCAAAGTACAAAACGTTTTTGCATTACCTGTCGGAACTCCCAAGTTCTTATCGCGGTTCACCGTGCAATTACGCAAATGCGCCTTACTGGATGTGACGTCACAGTGCATGGTAGTCAGTAATACAGGATATATACAGCCGGTATATACAGAATAATACAGAATGCTTTAAAAGGTTTGTTATTACTTTTATGGATTTTCTAACAAGCTGATTTAAGTTTTAACGAAGAATTCGATTACACAAACAAATTTCTGTACACAAACTCTTTTTAATAATTTCTTAAAATATAATATCAAATATTCTATTGATTAAATTTTACATTACAAAATTTTTATTCAATTAACATGTTTTGTTATCTTTTGAATTTCATTCGCAAGATTTCTTAAGTTTCCAGTAATTAGAATAGGCAAACGTATTATCGCTTCCATTGTATTATTTTCTACAAACGATTTCAGCATCGATTCCGCACACATGTTGTGCGTTTTGTCATTTTATGATTTATAATGCGACATGTACGTCTGATAATAAAATCAACCAGCAACGTCGTTAATGACACGCAACCAACGTGACGATAGCACGATTTCGCTTTTTATTTTATCGACAATTTAATTAATTCGCTCGTTCCTATTCGATCTTTGCACGTCATTCATTTAACGTTGATCGGCAATTATTTTAATTTTGCGATCGACTGATACCCGTTTAAAAAAAAGGCAAATACTCTTTTGGAGGAAGTAATACGAGGAATACTAATTAATCCGTGATAGTATAATCTTCCTAACGGACGGCATAATATATGACTTATCTTTTAATTAGCAAATGATATATTTCCGCTATTAATTCAACTATGCGCTGAATAAAATCCAATGAAAGATATCCATTTTATTTAACATTTGAGTTATACTTCTCGATGTGTCACTGTTTCACTCAAACAGAAGTTAGAAAATTAAATAGAAATTAAACCATATCATCATTTTCACGTTAAATATTATTCACAAATGTCTAACTAGAACCTAATAATCATCTAAATTTACGCTTAATATCTCCGGTCACGTAAATGCGGTAATTAAATCAATTCCAGAAGCTGTCGTGGAATATCTAAATTTAATTAGAACCGTGAAACTAAACGGTTAATTCTCATTGAATTCTCCGCAGGGACAGGTGCAATATGACGTTATGTTCCATTAAAGATGGGTAATGCAAAGATTTAACGTTATAATGAATGTGAGTAGAAGTAAATTGCCAAAGTATAATACTTTTATATAGTGTAACAATGATCCGGTATCTATAATAAAATGTTTTTATGGAGAAAAGGAAAAATAAGTGATTGCATTTCCAATGATATAAAACTTTTATTATTAATTCTTTTATACGTACTGAAACGTTGCTGTGTAAATTGATAATTTTTAATTTTTATATAAAAAATTTTCAAATGAAAGTTTAAAAACATTTCATGAAAGTAAAATACAAAAATTTTCATATTATTGTTTGCACGCTCGATATTAATATTTTATAAGTATTACCGTAATATTACTACGGCAATTGTAATGCATTCAGTTTAATCATATATTGTTTATGCAATAACTAATGTGTGTGTCTAATATTATACTAATAATTGGTAGTTATTATACCAGAATTTTGCGATAAATTGTGATTTAAAAATAATATTAAGTATTTTTTATATTTGGCATGATTGCTTATGTGCGAGTGTTATAGTGAACAGTGTGAATAATATATCAATAATTTTCCTCAAAAAATTATAATATCAATCTTAATAAAACGTGTAGTACAATTTGTTTTCGTCGCGACAGAATTGCTCATCTTACAATTAGCAATATCCATATCGAAAAATGGTTGCCGATCTCGATTTTTTTGAAAGATATTCTTTTTCAAGAATAAAATTGACAAAGTGCGAATTAAACGGACAATTTCGATAATAATATCGCTGTAAAATTTCTGATCATTGGAATTATATAGAATTATGAAAATATGTAATTTTTTTTCGTCGCGAGTTAAAATATCTAAACTATAATTATTTTCGTAACATACATTATCTCACATTAGATACAATAGATTTGTGAAATATATATATATATATATATATATATATATATATATATACAGATAATTCTTTTTTCGGATTCGTTAATAAATGACTACACAAATATAAATTCGCATCGATTTTACATTTCTATCGAAAGAGTAAAATATCTTAAAATAAAAATATCCACGTTGTGTGCCCCTGATTAAAATATCATCTTGACATTTCATCGATCACGAGTTATTAAGCAATTCCGAGATTCTGTCGAACTAAATTACGAACTAATTCGCAATTCTTATCCGCTCAAGCAGTTATTGGATCGTATCGACCGTGAAAGCCTCGGTCACGGATGGGTTCATGC